ACTTTTTCATCCCGGTTTGTAGTAAACGGCGACAGTATGCTCAATATTTGTCATTTAGTTTTAGTACGCCGCTATACAAGTATCAATATATTATTCTGAAACAAGGCGCTTATTCCCAGCGATCTACAAGTCGTACAGAGACAAATTATACATCAAATTAAAGTGCTCGATCTGAAACTTTGCACAAACTTCAGATTTAAGATTCATTGAACCATTTTCGAAATATTTGCGTCGAAAGATTTAAAAATTTTTACATTGAGCAAAGCATTGCTACGTTCATTTCGATAGGCAGCGTCTCAGCGGGACATAAAAAAATTAAAATTTGTTCCATTTATTCGCTTTCGTTTCTGTTTTTTAACAGACTTCCAAATTAGGAGGAGGTTATCAGTTCGTCGGAATATTTTTTTTTTTTTTATGTATGTTACCGCATAACTTTGGACCACGTCAACCGATTGCGATAATTCTTTTTGCATCGGAAAGGTNTTAAAATTTGTTCCATTTATTCGCTTTCGTTTCTTCAACCGATTGCGATAATTCTTTTTGCATCGGAAAGGTAGTGTCTCAGAGGTGGTACCATACTTATCCGAGAGGTGGTACCATAAGATCCGATCAGTGGATCATGAGACATATATATATATTTTTTTTATATGATAGTTGAAGTCGGTTTTTTTTTGCTAAAAATTACTTGTTGTTTCATATGGTCCAAAGCATGATAAAAACATAGCAAGGTAGAACTGTTCTCTCAATTTGTCGGCCATGATTTTTTTTTGAAGTTTGCCAACATTTTAAAATCATATAAAAGTGAAAATAAAAAATTGAAATTGTTCGAAATTGTTGTTGCTTGAGATTGAAAATGAAAATGTGTGTGTGAGTTTGTGAGTAAATTTAAAAATTAAATTGTTTGGAAACGTCAAGAATTTTAAAAGTGACTCTCAGCGGTTCTACCTTACTATATTTTTATCATGGTTCAAAGCATTAGCGCACACAAGGGGTGGATTTTGGGCATTTTTTTCTTGAGAGATGCAAACTGATTTAAGAAATTTTGATAGAAGAAAATTTCTATTCCATTTCTTCTGCGTCATTTTATATGATTTTTTCGTTTTTCTTGAGAGCTCTTAAAAGTTTAACTGCGAATGAAACCATTGTCCTAAAAATATGCAATGCATACTCACTTACTTTTGTTTTTTACACCTTACAGCTTAAAAGAGTTTACCACTCATATGTACTTAACAAGGATTCGAAGATTTAATTTACCAAATTCGAATTCGTTCCACCAAAATTACCTACATAATAAAAATGAAAGTTCATTTAAATTTTCCCGTAACTATTCGAAATATTAAAAAAATTAGGCAATCATGAAAAATCACCATATCAATCGAAAACCAGAAACCAGAAATCGAGGAAAACGAACATTAAAACTATTTTTTGAATTTTTTTATTACTTTTGAAAGTTGAGCGCATCTTGTGTTTATAGAACTTTATATTAAACAAGTAATTTTCAAATTACGGGACGACCCTTGCTTTCCGATTAAAAAAAAAAGAATTATTGAAATCGGTTCACGTGGTTCAAAGTTATGCGGTAGCATACATTAAAAAGAAAAAAATACTCCGACGAACTGAAAACCTCTCCCTTTTTCGAAGTCGGTTACAAATGTTTGAGTTCTTTGCTAATTTTATGTAAATAAAGTGCAATTTATGAAAAAACTTGTATAAATGTACCTTAAAGAGCATATTATCTGAAGCGAATTTTCAGAAGTATAAACCCTCCCAAAATATATTCCTGGGTGCGCCACTGGTTCAAAGTATTGCTACGTTCGTGTGCATGTAGGCAGCCAAGGCGAATCTACACCAGGTGGTGGCAATCGTATGTAAGTAAAAATCCCTCGTATTTTGTTATTGCTTCTTGTACGTGGGGATGTTACTACAAAAGAAAAGAGAAAATCAAGGCGAATTCGATTTATTCAGTGGAATGTCATGAGATGAGAAAATATAAACCAAAATCATTTCATTTGACATTTCTGTGACTTGTTGCGTTGAATTTTATTTAGAATATTAAATCAGCATAAATAAACTTTTAACGCGGGTTTTGTTACTATTTATCAGTTTGAGTAAAACATTGAAAGAGCCACGCATCCCGGTGCGTGCCAAGGCGCACTTGGTTTTGCCCAGTCAGTTTACATCATGGTCCAGAGGTTAGTAATCATTAATCGATGTCCGGAAATGAAAGTCCGCAAGTCTCTTGAAGCATTCGAACTTAAATATACATATATTGGTAGAGTAATTGCAAGTGATAGTCCTGTGTTTCCGGGCCGCTTCTTTTCATAATAGCAAAGCTTCAACAGCACTAATATGCCTGGACCAGGTGCCTCACGATTTGCAGATTTTTACAAGAAAGGCTGTTTTCATCATTAATAAACCTTATGGGAGGTGGCGACCGGGAACAGATTCCTGGAAAAACCTGGAAACCAGGAAAAGACATCCAGTGGTTTGTTTACATTTTAAATAATGCAAGTTTTCACTTTTATTTTCAAGAGTTGATTGGATGTTGTTTGCCACCACCATGTACAGATGCACCTTGAGGTTGGCTAACAATTACGAAACGATCAAATAATGCACATATAAAGCAAAAGCATCGTTTGATTTGGTATTGCCGCCATGGGCTTGTTTGCTCTGGTATGAAGTCGGAAGAATTGCCAGCTGCAGAATAAGAGTAACCATGCGGTTCTATGGAAAAATAATAAGGCATGCCTATTTGAAGTAAATTGTGTATTCAACTTTTATTAACTATATAACTTGATATCGTTACCTTAATCCGCAAACGCTTTAACCAGAAATGTATGTATTTTAGAGAAGCAAAAAACATTATGAAGGGTAAATAAAAACTGCAGATAGGGGTTTTTAAAAAATTGGCGTAACTCCATTGTTTTCGCTATTAACAGAAACAAGAGCAGATACTTGATGACTAATTTTAAATGAACATGCTACTTTTAAGGCCAAACTGTTTTTTTGGTTACATATCGTCAACTGAAATGCAAAAAGACGTAACAAAGATCGTCGCTGAAATACAAAAAGTCGTAACTAATAAAAAATTCAAAATTCAGTTTTTGATTGATATGATGGATTTCATGGAATTACAACTCTCACATAATTTTATGAAAAGAAATAAAGAATATTAGTCACGACTTTTTCCTTTTCAGTTACGATGTTGTTACGTCTTTTTGCATTTCAGGTGACGATATGTATGTATGCATGTGAAATGGCTCGATTTTTTTCTTAAGATCAACAAAGTACTAAAGAAACAATTGAGGTCGTGTTCAAAGGATTGTGATAACAAACATTTGAACAAACCTATTCGGTGGAATGCAAATGTAAATCACGATAAATATATTAATAAAACACATTCCTGGAATGTACAAATTTGCACGTTTATTCTTTCATTAAGAATGATAACATTTATAGTCCAAATAAATTGTATTATTAGCAGGGACGGAAAATAATCATTATTTTTTAAATTTTAACCAAAAAAATTAAAAAGTTGTGATCGTCGTAAAACAGTTTTTACCAGGGACGTGAACCGGGTTTGAACCGAACCGGTTTTGAACCGGAAAACCGCTTTTTTCTATTAATTAACTGAACCATTAACCGAACCGAAATTTTCCACAAATGTTTGATCCGAACCAAAAACCGAACCACTTTCCATAAAGGTTTAAAGGTTCGTTTCAACCATGTTTTAATAGATAAATGTACCCACTTTTTTTATTTTTGTTAAACATGGTAATACCTACCATGTGACAGAAAGACAGAAGAAATACGTTTATGATAAAATTTTGGAAAACGCGCGTGGCACCGCCCACTTATGATCACATATATGTATCTCGGTCACGGGTCTACCAATTTATACCAAACTCGGTATGGCTATTGTGCTTGCCAAATAAAAGCAAATTATTGAAATCAGACTAAAATTGAGGCCGCTGTTCATATAACGGTAAATTTCAGAAATGCTTGAAACTTCAGTATTTCGAAATTTAAGGACGCTAAATTACTCAAAATTGATACACCCTTACTTGCCATGTTGTGGTGGGTTTCGGAAAGGTGAAAATCATATATTTAATACTTGCGCCGGCTCCTTCCGAACTTAGACTTTATTATTTGTTTGTTTTTCGAACCGTTGAACCGAACCGAAACCCCGGTTCAAAGACCAAGAAACCGGTTTTGACGAACCAATCCAAAAGTGCAAAAACGGTTCGAACCGCTGAATCGAACCGACAAAATTTTTCATCCGGTTCACGTCCCTGGTTTTTACTATACTCACGTATACTCACGCCCTACTGTAATTTACAATGATTTTTATTTTTCGAGTTTAATCAATAAAGATTAAAAATAATAATTAATATTTGAGTATTAATTTCTCGCTCAAAGGTAATTATTGTTACTTGATTTCTATTTTTTCGATCAAAAATAATGATTATTCTACGATTTTGATTTTTTCGCTCAAAGATAATAGTTATTATTGAGTTTTATTTTGTCACTAATGAATAATGATCATTAAAAAAAAAAACCGCAAAAGTTATACCAGCGCTATTTCCGTCGTATCCTTTTCAGAGGTAGCGACACCCTAATAAAAGGAATAAGTCCCAAAGTTTTCAGGTCCAAATTTCAGTAAGTTGCGTCTTCCACAGTCTGAATTCTATATGTGTTTTGTAAAAGTGCAACGGTGACATTACTGCCTCAATGCAGCCCAATTTATCGTTAGCAGAAGTAACGTACATATCATGCAGTTGGCTATTATTCTGAATATGCATAATATTTGCATCTATTTCATTAAAATATGCTATATTAACTCCAACACAGTAATCGTATACTTAAAATCGCTATTGTAGCAGCGTGGTTTCCTTATAGTGCACAGCATGCCATTTGTTATGCGCGAAATGTGACGACTTTCTACAATCTCTCCTAGTTTCGTTTCAACAATTACTTCGTAGTAGTCAACGCATCCCGAAGGCACTTCAGGTTGTCGCCAATGAATTGTGATATCCTTCGAATCATCGAATTTTGTATGAGATGGACGCGAAGGAACTAAAATGAGATAAGTTTAGTAAGTCGCTAAATGTTGTGAACACTATTTTAACATACCGCCGATTAAAGTTTGTATGGGCACACAATTGCTAGTTAGTGAATGATCCACAGTATACGCTTTCACATAAATGGTGTAATTAGTAAAACTACTTAAGTTTCCCAAAGTGTAGAATATATGTTCATTGCGACCGCTTTTTCTGCACCCGGACAAGTAAAGCGAACTAATTGTATTATTACAATACAAAATATGACTTTCGCTATTGTAACTAGTAACTAAGAGAAGTAAAATATAAAAAACGCAATAATGAATTAAGGCACTCTACATATCGCACATAATCTTCAAATCTGACACAACTCCAAATTACAGGTATGCGAAAAAATACTCCGTAGTACATAAATATCAAATTAAAACAAAAATTTTATCCAAAAATTTTGAGTCACTTTTGAAGATCGTGTGCTATACGTGTATGTAGATGTATTTAGTTATATATGTTACGTTATATACGTTTTATACGTTATATGCAGTACGGCTCAGTTTTCGGGTTAAGGCCCATAATTATTTCAATCAACTTGGTAAATGTATCCTCTATCGGAAACTCATTTGAGGCGTTGGCCGGGTGTTAAAGTCCAGTAAATTGCTACAAAATAAAAAATAGAAATTGTATTTATGAAAAACTTATTTAATAGTTTAAAGTAACGTGTTCAAATAAAAATACAAATCAGCAGAAAATAATGCAAAAATAAAGAAGTAAATGCAAAATACTAAAAAGTAACTAAATTAAAAAATTTAATTAAATGCAAAATATATTTACAGTTCTCTTACTATGCTCAGAGGTTGATATTCAGGAACTTCTTGTAACCCATTACCCTCTGTTTTGCCTTTCGGATAGGCCCTTGNATAAAAAAAGGAATTAAATGCAAAATATATTTACAGTTCTCTTACTATGCTCAGAGGTTGATATTCAGAAACTTCTTGTAACCCATTACCCTCTGTTTTGCCTTTCGGATAGGCCCTTGTCTATTTAAGTTACGAACACGGAAATGAATGCGGCAATTGAAAAATAGCCGTTTCGCGCTTTCGGGGAGTTCAGCTTCCGTGCTTTTTTCCATCAACCGCCGGTAAATGGTTTGGCAATGGGATATTTGCAAAGCATTAAGATTATGGAAAATATGCTCCAATGCTTTCACGCCACTCAAAAATTGCGATGACGGTTTCTTGAGATACCCCTTCGACACTTGGTCCACCCAGGTGAACGAGCTTTCAGAGCTTGTGTGCTCCTCCAGACGAAGCGTTCTTAGCATATAGCCCGAAATGTATTCCAAAGCATCCTCTTCGAGAAAACCGCAGTCATCGGGTTGAGAGGTATCAAGCGCATCTATAACTTCCGGCTCCATTTCCCATTATTCTGAAAATATACGCCTAAGCTCGTCGGTACTTATGCCATTACTGTCAGCTGAGTTCGACTGCGTCGGTGTTTCGTTAAAACATAGCCATTGACTTTTGTCGTTTGACACGTTCCCTCTCCCATGGAGGCACTCCGTGTTGCGAGCTAAAATAAGATAAGGATAAGAAAAACATCATATTTGAAGTAACTGATATAACAGTTATACCTAAAATATACTTCCGCATCCCATATTTAAATTCCTGTGGACTTGGGTAGTATTGCACCGTATTGCTGCGTATTGCACCAAAAAAGTGCTCCAGGACATCCTGATTTAGGTTTTGGGATAGTAACTATTCCACATTTGATTTAGTTTTAACACTGTTATACAAATCAANTTTAAAACATAGCCATTGACTTTTGTCGTTTGACACGTTCCCTCTCCTATGGAGGCACTCCGTGTTGCGAGCTAAAATAAGATAAGGATAAGAAAAACATCATATTTGAAGTAACTGATATAACAGCTATACCTAAAATATACTTCCGCATCCCATATTTAAATTCCTGTGGACTTGGGTGGTATTGCACCGTATTGCTGCGTATTGCACCAAAAAAGTGCTCCAGGACATCCTGATTTAGGTTTTGGGTTAGTAACTATTCCACATTTGATTTAGTTTTAACACTGTTATACAAATCAACTAAAGCTATGTTAGTCATAAGTATTCCCTTCTGAAATACCTCCTCTTGTTTGGTATTATAGGCCAAGACATATATTCGTTCATACGCTCTAACACTACTAATTGGCTTGAAAGGGCCGTTCCAAATGGTTCCTTAAGTTTCAAAGCGAAATCAAAAGAGTTAAAATTTAAGCGTATAAGAAATACCTTTCCCGGATAACCGAATGTATCCATGTCCGAGTTTAAAACGTCGAACTAGTCGTTGACAAGCTGAATAAAGTCAGCTGTCTCAACAGGTTTGTATAACTCCTACCCTAATGTATAGCAATGTCTAATAGCATTGGCAATTGTGTGAGAAAACAACTGCGATGCTAATTTGACTTTCTGACGGCCTTTAATTTATTTAATGTTATAAGTGTTAAAGATATCTAGAGTATTTACTTACCTATTCCCTTAACTGATAAGTGCTCATCAGTTAACCTAAATGCAATGGATACATCTGCTTTTGAGGTGTATTTAAGGAGATCAACAAGCGTCCTGCTTCTTAGTACCTTTCATTTCCACAACAAACCTGAGTCCAGAAAATGGTTTCTTATCAATTTCAACAGGTGCGGTGCATCAGTGAACACGAAAACTCGTTCATTTTCATCGTGAGGGTGTGCAAACCACGGCTTATCTGTAAAGATTATAAATTTTTGAATATTGTTTAACTCACAAAGATTCAGACATCATAACCGAAGTAAAGCAAATGGTGATCTTACCCATTGTCACGTCTAATTGTTTCCAGAGCTTTCGATTTGTAGGGCCCATATCGCAGACGACGGCCACCACTAGGAAACTTGCGGGTTTCAGTGCCAAAATTATCCTAAATAAGATTTCTTTGTTCATTTGACAATCGAAATCATAGCTTCCAAGATTTCCGTAACCCACGCGCCGTTACTACTTGCACGTATTTGCAGGCCTTCGGACATAGTCTCCTGCCTGATCATATTCGTATGACTCAACGACTTTCATCTCGTCGAATACAAGAACACATAGTTTTTCATCATTAGAAAGATCAGACCTGTGTTGCATACAATCAATTGATGCAGTCAGGAGACCCTCGCTTATATCGCTTTTACGATACCAACGCTGCAGTGTAGACACGTGGGGAAGCGCAATACAAGTGGTTGTATGCCCGTGGTCCCGCAGCGTGCAGACATATTGCATCAGAAATGTCTTTAAGTGACCATTTCACGAGTCCATCTCTAAGAAATGTATACCTACTTATGACACTTGATTTCGTACATTAAAAAATCAGAACTTACTGGTGAGGACCATCTTTCGAATTTGTCCTGCAAAGAATATATTTTTCATTCTATTAACGACAGCATTCGCTTCTTCCAGCTGGGCATTTAACTTTAAATGCTCCAAAACTATAAAGCTGCATACTCAAAAAAAAAATCAGATCACACTGTCTGTGGTAATGTACTTACTCCGTTTGCGTTCCGCAGTCTGTAACCTGCGCCTTAGTTGGTTCCGGCAAAGAAAACTACGAACTATTGTGTATATATGTATAAGTAACACATTTTCATGTTATTGCGTTTAAGTATACTTACTAAGCTAAATTCACATGCGAGAACTGAGGTAGTTGTACGTCTGGGAATTGCGTGAAGCAAGATCTATACAAACATATGTATTTTAAAGATATTTTTCTTTATTCAAATCAAATCTATTCACATTACCCTTCTTGTGTGTAAACTCCAGAATCAGGTATGAAAATGGAGCGTGAAAATTGCTCAGGTACACTTGCGTTTGCGGTAGGGATATCGACATCCATGCTGAATTAAAAATTTGCATTTGAAGATTTTGGACACGAATAATTTCATAACTCACCTAAATTTACGTGTATCAGGGATACCGACGTAGTTGGAAGTATACGGCAATGGTGAAATTGTATTACCGAATACATTATTCACGCGTGATGTATGCTGGGATACATCTGCAGCCTGTATATTGGAAACACCGATTTCAGTGCTGAATTAAAAAACACAATTTTAAGTTTTTGGACACCAATCTTTGTACAACTTACCCAAAGTTACGTTTATTATTTTTTAAACAATTGGAGCCAGAAGATTGTGACGATGGTGCGAATAGAATAGCTTTTGCCAGCAAACTGGCTTGTGTACAACCGCATATCATATCCGCGCGCGAGAAGTGATCGGGACAAACGTAATCTCTAGCTCCAAGATGCGTTCGGGATGATTTAGACCACACGAGCTGTTCCAAATCGTTGATTGGAACCAAGAAAAAATTTCCCGCTCCGCTCTTATTTTGTTTTAAACAACCCGCGCACTTTCTCATTTTTATAACGTTTTACACGTTTTGACTAAATGTCCACAAATTTTCGCTAAGAAATATAATTTTCATAACATTTTCAAGAAATTTTCACTCTTTTTGCACAATTGTCACTTTTACAATAAGATTTAAACGAACAAAAATATCCAATCAGCTGATCAATTAACACCACCTTGTATGGATTCGCCTTGCAGGCAGCGATACAGCGGAAGATCTGCAAAGAAAATGTTCTCTCTGTACATATGTACATACACAACGTTGTTGCATATCCATACATTCATGCACAGTATCAACAACATCGCTGCATCGCTGTGCGCTTAATTTTGATTTGAGCATTGTTATGTTTCATTTATTCGTTTTCGTCCCTTTTTAACCGACTTCCAAAAAAGGAGGAGGTTATCAGTTCGTCGGAATCTTTTTTTTTTTTTTTTTATGTATGTTACCGCATAACTTTGGACCACGTCAACCGATTTCGATAATTATTTTTGCATCGGAAAGGTAGTGTCTCAGAGGTGGTCCCATACTAATCTGGTTAAGATCCGATCAGTGGATCATGAGATATATATATATATATTTTTTTTTTATATGAGAGTTGAAGTCGTTTTTTTTTTGCTAAAAATTTTCTTGTTTTGTTTCATATCCGGCAAAGCGTTGCTATGTTTGTGCGAATGTGATACATCGAAGATCTGCAAAACAAAAATGTTGCTTTTGCCTCTGTACAGATACCCACATAGTTGCCACCTTGGTGCTTTAAGCACTAGATTTAGTGCTTTTTGAAAATGAAAACGCCTAAAAAAATTATTTAGTGCCTAGTGCCTTTTTTAGTGCTTTTTTCTGAACTAAAATTACTCCGATATAGTTAAGACCTGAAATAATTTTTAAATATTTAAAGCTGAGTCATTGTAGCATGTGGCTTTTCAATCGTTATGTTGTTTATTGATTTATGTATGCATTCTTGTAAATATTGTTATTTTTTTGTTTTTCTTAAATACATACAAACTTATGAAAAAAGCAACCATTGATTCAACACCATTTGGTGCTTTTAGTGTGGTTAAACGCTTTTTTTCCAAGATTTTGGTGTTTTTTGAAAATCAAAAGTTGGCAACACTGGATACCCATGTATAAATCTTAGATGGT